TCATCAATTCAAGCCAAACATTAATCAAATAGGAACAATTTCACTCAAAGTATACCTAACACAGGAGAACTATTGTTGTGAAAGTGTTGTACAGCCGATTACGAATTTAGATTGCAGAGAGTTTGTTTTGAGCGCTAGTAAAGGCACTCACAATAGAGCACATTTTGCTTTGTTCAAACAGGTATAACCCGAGATGCTTGGCTAATATACTGTCTCTGGCGCTCGTTGCGGAACAATTTTGTGTGACTCTGGACACTGAGACTGAAAATGCTTTTAGTGTACACATTTTGGAGGGGCATGTAATGAAATTCGAATGCATTGCTTCTTCTCTGTACGTCTATGATGCTACTTCAGTAGATATGTCTAAGCTTAATGTAGCTTTCAACTATTCACAAACTGTAGCAGACAACAAAGCAACTTTTGCTAAGAGGGATATTCGTAAGGCCGATGAGGCGGTGCTGCTCAACCGAAGGACCAATCATATGGCGGAAGACAAATGTGTATGTGTTGTGAAGGACAATTGGATTCGGAACTGTCCTGTCACAGTAGGGGATGTGCGGCGGTCCCACTCCATCTATGGACCACCACTACCACCAGTGAAGGGCCGGACTCGTTACCAGTCGTCAGCGAGAGTCAAGGAGACCGATATTGTCCAGATCCCAAAGAGCATGTACAAAGATCTCAAAAACGTGACGCTTTGCGTTGACTTTTTTATGTAAACGGCGTCACTGTTTTTCATTCCATCTCTCGACGAATTGACTATTGAACCGTGTCTTTTCCAATTAGCAGAACCAAAGGATCCATTGTCAAGGAGCTGAAGGATATCTTCAAACTCTACAATGCCCGGGGTTTCCGAATCACCGAAATCCACGCAGACAACGAATCAGGAAAGGTGGAGAAAGACGTCTTGCCGGCCCTACTGGTCTGCTGTGAAGTGGACGACCACGTCCCAGAGATTGAAAGGTCTGTTCAGACCATGAAAAACGACAGTCGGTCAACATGCCATGCGATGCCATATTTGTGCTACCCAAGAATGATGGTACAAGCCATCATCAAGACTGGAGTTGCTTTTCTCAACGCTTTTGGATCCGCCAAACAAAGTACGAATGGGCTCTCGGCTTGGAACACTATTGAAAATCTTCCACATGTTGACCACAATCATCTGAAATACGAGTGCGGCGAGTATGTTCAATTGCACCTGACTGAAAAGGTAACGAATACGATGAAAAGTAGGACCATTGGAGCGATCGTTTTGGACCCAAGAAATCTGACTGGACAATACAACTTCATGTCTCTAGAAACCGGAAGAGAAACCAATGGACGAGTGACAACGGCGATGCCTATCACTGACGACGTGATCAAGAGAGTGGAAGAACTCAGACTTGAACAACAGCAGCCGTATCGAGAATCGAAAATGCTGAAGTATGAATGGAGACCAGGACAACCGATCTCCGCGGATGACATCGTTGCACCTGCTGAAGCAGCACAAGACCCGCTAATCTTGCCTGAACCTATCGTCATAAATCTGCCAAATGCTGGGCCCAATCCTTTTGTACCTATTGATGTGGATGATCTACCAGGAGCGGATGAAATTGAGACAGAACTACCGGACAATCAAGAGGAACAAGGGGCGGAAACTCAAGGAGCGCAAGGAGCGGAAATTCAAGGAGCGCAAGTCGAAGCACTGGCCGAAGATCAAGGAGCGCAGAACGGCAACCAAGAGCAACCATAAGATATGATAGAAGAAAATGATGAAAATGAAGATGACGATTTCTTGGCAGAAGTGGACATGACTGACGATGAAACGGAAGATGAAGCTGATGCCGACGGTTTGGGAGATACCAAAGAGGACGTGGCAACAGCGGACAAGACGGAGGACAGGGAGCAAACAGTAGTAGTGGCAGCCAGTAATCCGGAGGACAAAGAACAAAGAGGAGGCCATCTTGACACGAACGAAGGAGAAGACTTCGGAAGAGGAAAGAGAGAAAGAAAGCCAGCTGAAAAGTATTCAGCATTGCAAACAACAGAGATCAAGAAGACCTCTGGAAAGGTAAAGGGAAAGGTGAACAGCTTTCAGAGGAGAAAAAGAGCCGCTCACAATAAGAAAAGAAATAAGACTAGCAAAAGTTTGATCACGAAAAGATCGGCAAATAAAAAGAAGGCCAAAAGGAAAAATATTTCCTTTTTGTTTTTGAACAAGAGGTTCAAAGATTTGGAAAAGGAAGAAAAGGTGGATTTCTTCACTTGTGCATGGGAGGAACACCAGCTCACCGGAAAGACACACCTGTTGGAGCGATATACCACCGGACTTGCGTTTGCCCAAATGTCTGCCAAGCAGGGCATCAAGAAGTACGACAAAGAAGCAGAACTGAAGCTAATTGCCGAGTTCACACAGTTACTAGAGTTCCAAGTTTTCCACGGAGTTAAAGCAGACGGACCCGACGGCATCTCTTTGGAAGAAAAGAGAGGAGCCGGAGACATGATCAATCTTATTGAGGAAAAGATCAATAGAGGACACACCGATGAGAATCCAGTGCTAAGAGCTAGGAGCGTTTTCAACGGTTGAGTGCAGCGGGGAATCTACACCAAGGATGAGACAGCTTCTCCTACTGTGGATCAAGACTCACTTTTCATCACCTGCATTGTTGACGCGATCAAGGGAAGGTTTAAGGCCACCAGCGACGTCAGAGGAGCGTACCTGAATGCAAAGATGAAAGATCGAGTAATCAGGCGCATTTTGGGACCTGAAGTCGATATCTTCTGTGATCTTGATCCCAGTCTAAGGGAATTTGTCACCGTCGTGAAGGGAAAGGAAGTGCTGTACGTACAATTGGACAGAGCATTATATGGGTGCGTAAAAAGCTTGATGTTATGGTATGCACTTTACTCGGAAACTCTCATGGATATGGGTTTTAAGCTTAATCCATACGATCTGTGCGTCGCCAACTGTGACATTGATGGAAAGCAATGCACGATTTGCTGGTATGTAGACGATAACAAGATCGGCCATATGAAATTGGAGGTCGTAAAGGATATCATCGGGAAGATTGAAGCCAAGTTCGGCAAGATGACATTGTTCGGCGAAGAGCACGAGTTTTTGGGAATGAAGATAACATACAAAGACGGCAAGGTGGAGATCAGCATGAAGAAACACATTCAGAAGGCGATCGATATGTTCATGGATGATATCAATAGAGAGGCAACTTCGCCTGCCAAGGCCTATCTTTTCGATGTGAGAGAAGCTGCGAAAGATTTGAACGAGGAAAGGGCTGACAATTTTCACAGCGTAACAGCGTCACTTTTGTTCGTCTTGAGACGATGCCGTCTAGACATTCAAACTGCCATCGGTTACTTGTACACTAGAGTAGGATGCCCAGATGAGGACGATTGGGTCAAGCTCAAGAGAGTCTTGCAGTATCTGAAAGGATCGATAGATTTAACAAGAATCATTGGTGGAGATGGCGGATTTTTTCACCAAACCTTAGCAAGGTAGTTTGTTTCGAAAGTTTTGCGATGTAGTTTTGGGATACAAACACACCGATTCTCTACTAGAGGATGATGAGGAAGAATCAGTCAAGGAGCGTGTTGGAAGTCGTACAGACGACTCCCCTGAGTCAGATAGTGATGAGTCTAAACCGTCATACATACTCTCACGGAGAACCAGTCATGGGCAGATGTTGTTCGAAAGATGAACGATTGATTTACAGTAGTTTAAAACTGCGTAGAGAGTTTTGGGATGACCAAAAGCATAAGTTTTTTTTGGTCATTCGAAAACTCTTATCCGAACTAAAGCAAGTTTTATTGACGACTTTAAGGTTCATAGTATTTGGACTACGTTACGCCGAACAACTGAAGACTGATTGTCTCAGAGTATCATAGGGTATTTTATTATCTAACATGCAGCCAGCCTACCGGTACCAGGTACTGGTACACATGTACCACTGTAGTACATCCTTCACTGGAAGACTTTACAGTAAACGTTGAATGTGTACCGGCACAGCACCAGGTACCAGCACAGGACGATCATTCATTCACTCACTCTTGTTCGATGCAAAATTCCATCAATTTTTCAAATCATTGAATGCGAGCTGTATTTGCCCATTACTAAAACACACTTTTCACACTTTTGCATTACTATCCATGTCGGTTCTTGTTTTATGGTGGTGGGGTCTCTAGTGAATTTTTAGCCAATGAGAGTTAGTCAATTCACTAAAGATGAGTCTATTATTAGTGGTATTAGCCAATCACAGCTCTCTATCACTAATGATGGATTCGAGTAACTCTGTCCACACTAAATTAGTACTCTCCACAGACTTCAAATGATGTCGTTAGGGGGGATGTTAGGTCCAAGCTCCATACGGCCCTAGCAGTTTCTCTTTGCCTTATCAAACGACTAAAGACCTTGTCTTAAGGACCAACCTTAGCCCTCGATCATGAGGAAGCGCTGTAGATTCCCTAGGATGACTTCGAGCTGCCCTGAAGAATGGGATGGTAGGTTGGCAACTGAAATTGGCTGGTAATACATGAGGTAATAGATAGATCCAACGATAGAAACTGATTTTTCAATCTTACAGATAGAATACTACTATGTATTGTCGAGTATCGTTCAGACTTCTCTGATGGCAGATTGAAATCAACTGCTGATATTGGTATAGGTAGGCAGTAGTCTCTTCACCTTTGGAATCAAGTCATTGTCTCAAACTGGTGCAAAAAGGTTGATTGTATTGCCATCAGAGTAGAATAGACAATACCCGAATCTGAAAGCATCATCTATGATTATACTGTATCAGACTTTCCCATCGCGGCTTTGGCCAGCAAGGAGCCATGCACTGTTTCTATCTATGTTTTCGCCTGTGAATCTGACTCAAAACCGGTTGATTATTGCATGCCTTCAATGGTGGAACACGTATTTACTCCCTTTGCGATGAAATTGGGCTTTGTGGTGGCCCTTACTCATCTTGCTTGGTTCCCAAATGTTGAGTCCATTGAGGACACCGCCGATTATATATCGAATCCACTACTGGCTGGTTCTTGCAAGCCTCGCATAAGTAAGCGTTTCAATAGTATCACAGCAATAATATCCGCTGCTAGAGTCGAGCAGTATTCATGCCTTCATTCACCTTGCTTCCAAATGGTTTGTTGTCGACACAAGATCGGGCTGCCGTCTTTACACTGACATCACTTTCATGCTTCCAATCTTGAAGTCGAGACACCAATAATCGCGGTGCGATGAGCCTCCGAGTTTTGATTTAATCTACGATATGCAGGGATGTAAGATATTGTTATTGCCTTAGAGGTGCTTGGACATCATTTCAATACTGCTGTAGGCAGTTCGCAGACGCATCGATTATCATATCAAACATTCATGGATTGTTACATCGTTCTAAATCCGTCTAAATCCTGGCTAACGCCAGGATAATAGCGTATGTCATCTTGCGACGCCATGCATGAAACCAGCACTGTGTTGTCCTCTTTTCTTCTCTCTTCGTTTTTTCTTTCCTTTCTTCTTCCTCTCTCCCCTTCTTTTCTCCCCGGGGGATCTAGTATAAACTGCTCCACCAGCATACTGGAAAATAAAAACCTCCATGTCTGGAACACCCGGCAAATGACGAAAATCCGTACCGCGCGGGGTCGACTGTGGGAATTCTGATGTCTTTCGATGGGCGATCCCTGCCTTAAATATATTTCAGTTTTTAAACAATATCATTTTCACAGAACAACTTTATTTTTGATCTTTTCTGATCCTAATTCTGTAAATAACAAAGGGTCATTTGATGGTCGCAGGGTCATTAAGAAACTTCGAATTCCAAATCATATCAATAGACGGAATCCTGAAGTTGGGAGATCCTTGAGTTATAACTCAAACGTGTGAGTTTTTACTCAAACGTGTGAGTTATAACTCAAACGTGTGAGTTATAACTCAAACGTGTGAGTTATAACTCAAACGTGTGAGTTTTTACTCAAACGTGTGAGTTTTTACTCAAACGTGTGAGATTTTACTCCCTTTCCAAAACCGTTGCTGGAAATTCGAGCTGGCGGACCAACGACTACTTTCACCAAAAGATACAGTCCTGTACTTTTCCAGATCCAAACCCTATAAAAGAACTTGTCACGCAACATCATTGGGACAAAAACGAGTTCTACGGCGAGGCAGGAGGTGAAAGGAGAGAGACTTTCAGCCGCTTCCTCACCGACAAGGTCAGAAGAAAGGGTTTTGGTTGGAAAGAATACGTTGATTTGCTGCATGAACGGGAAGTTGACATGTCAGCAAACACGGAGACGCAGCTGGCAACGGAACTTCAAGCCAAGGGAGGGCCAAACGATGCTGTGGTGAACGACGCTCGTGCTGTTGCGTTTGCTGTGCTTGATTCTGCTAATGAAAAAAAAACTACACTCAACCTGTTATTTCTACTAAAAATTCTGACATTGCCATGGACGACCTTGCGCAATGCTCATGACAAGGCAAGAGACAAACCGTTACAGGAAGATTTGATTTAGGCTGATGACCTGGCCAAGCACCCAACAACCCACCCATAACGCACGTGGCGAGCTCAAGTTTTATTTGACAAGGGCAAAACAGAAAAAAATCATGTTGGCCTCACAGCATCGGAGTTTCAAGAAACTAGGGTTGAATACCACCCATTCAAAAAACGAAAATTCAGAGAGCGGATTCAACAAGAAATTAGATTTCAAAAGTACCGCAACTGTCTGGAGGATAAAAGAATGAAGAAGCTGGCTAAATTGAAGAAGGAAGAAAAGAAAGAGAAAAAGAAAGAAAACTTGTTGCTCTATGAACAACGTATGAAAGTAGCAATGGCCGAAAAGGAGGAGGAAACAAAGAAGCAGGTGGAAGAATCGCCGATGTCTGAGGACTAGCAAGTAGTAATAAAATTGTATTAGATATGTGGTAAATTATCCTATTTCAAAGAGAGGGTGACCGTTATTCATTTTGAATTGGACTGTTCCAACAACTGCAAGGACACATTTTTGATGTTTGTCTCTCGAATATTTGAACCTGTCGTCCAAAATAATAAAAAGCACTTCAATCGACGATTAAAAGTTTCATGGCGAAGCCGAGCACGTTACTTATTCGTGGTTTTCTTTGGAGGCTGTGTTGCATCTCTCTTGAAGCTGCCCTTCCCCCATTGGAGAACATCATCCCCCTGACATTTTCTGAGTACGTTTGAGTTATAACTCACACGTTTGAGTTATAACTCACACGTTTGAGTTATAACTCACACGTTTGAGTTATAACTCACACGTTTGAGTTATAACTCAGACGTACTCACACGTTTGAGTTATAACTCAACGCCGTGAGTTATAACTCAGGATTCCGTTGTGATCTGAGTTATAACTCAGAAAAAGTCACAATGACCAATCGGTCATCTGTGTCCATAAGTCCCTATTTGATAAATCATCACATAATAATATGTCATTAATAGTTAAAGGGAAATAACATAGATTTTTCGAAGCTAAAAATATAATTTTATATCTCCGGGCACGAGCACGTCAAAACTTTGCGATCAGTGTCCCGAAAATACTCGGTCTGAACATTTGCCGGGTGTTCCTGACTTCGACTTTCGAGAACTGCTTTTGGACTTTACCATCTTTGCTTCACTCTGTAGCAATCGTGATTTGAGACTTTTTTAGTTTTACCGTTTTTTGGTAGTCCAACTGGTCGACAAGACAAGTCACCGGTGAGAAGCTACAGCTCCCGTATTTCTCAAGCACTTTCTCCCGCTGTTGATGGGAGCCTACATTCCGCGAAATACAAGCAAAGACTACGATAATGGTTCCTGTACGGGGAGAAAAGGAAAAGCTTTGGCGTCCAAGTTTATAGAACGTACGAAACTGTATGCTTTCGCTTTGTTGAAATCATTGGTGCCTTCTTGCGATTGATTGAATTTCCGTCGTCAAGCCAATCAAGTCGCAATTTATCGCCACCCACTTCTCCAACTGAATATCTGAAAATTCAAAGTATTAGCTGAAAAATATTAAAGGAATTTTTAAATCACTGTCTTGTTCGATGCATTTCTGGTCTCTTTGGGTTGATTGGTGTGTATTTGTAAATTCGTTTGAATTTCCGTCGTCAATCATTGCGTAACCATTTCTCGCCAACCAGACCCCCAATTGACTATCCAAAAATTCGCAATATGAGCTGACTGCACATGGAATATGGTCGTTGTGGGATGAATCTTGTTGGTATTGTTGTCATTGTTGCACGAAAATAAAACAAAATATCGCAAGCGGGAGAAAGTGCTTGAGAAATACGGGAGCTACAGTAGCTACCGGTAGCTCGGAAAAGCTTGCTCGTTGACCAGTTGGACCATCAAGAAACGGCAGTGCAGTTAGGCATATATCAAAAGTGACGGAGGAACGAAGTACAGACGGCGTCTGTCAACACGGTAGCTACAGAGTGATCTTTGCGAGTCGATCCGATTGGAAGACCGATGTTCAAAGATGGTATACCCCGCTTTACATCGTGAGCATTCTCGGAGTATTGAGCGTGCGCTACCATTGTTCTAGGCAAAAATAAATATGGGCATACGTACTTTGGATCGACAAATCGATTTGCATCTTGCCCATGAGGATGGTCGATTGGAGGTGGCGAAGCTGCGACTGGATTCGGGAGTAGACAAGAAGAGAAAACTATCCAATGGAATTACGCTCCATTGCATTTCGTGACAAGGCGGACTTTTTGACGTGGTCCAACAATTGTTCGATCATTGTTCCAACTCGATTGTTTTGGCGATTTGCGGTGAAACGAAAATGCATACAGCGGTCAGAGATCATCAATTGCGTATTGCTTGGTTATTCTTGGGACTACTAGATGTCAATATTTGAAGGAACAACCAGACCCCACCAAGTACAATTTTCATCAAAGAAGATTGGTGCAACTATTAAAGAGGCATACGGGTAGGTCTGCGAAGTGGTGGGGAAAGCAGTTGCTCGCCGAAACCCAGATCTCGAGGGTTTTAGCATAGGTAAAAGCAATGCCTGGTGATCCAAAAACAAAGGTTTCCATTGTTAATGCAAGCCTTGTCAATGCTTCGGTTGAGGGATTCGTTCCAAAGCTCCCCAATCAAATTTGTGACAGCATCAGGGAAAGTCGGGAGCCTTGTTTGTTCACTAAATTTCTCGCATTGTTTCGCTCGTACTGCCTTCTCATCATCTCCTCAAACCTTGCGGTTGCGAACGCTGCCCATTTGTCATCCAAGGATGCGCCTTGACCTGGTCCAAACTCAAACGGTCCTTTGGGTCGAGGAACAACATCCGTTGCAGCAGATCCATTGCATCGCCACTTAATCCAATATTCCATTCTGTTAACATTTGCACCAGGTATCCTGCGGTCATGTAGTGAAATCTTTCATCTGTAGCACACGCACGCTCCCAAGGAGGAAAGCCTGTCAACATCAAAAACAGAATAACGCCCGCCGCCCACATATCAACCGCAAATCCGTCGAATGGTTCAGAATTTTTGTAAATTTCAGGCGACATGTACATCCATTTGCCACAGGTACCCTGGGGCCGTATCAAAAGTCGCGGCCTACTTCGTCCAGTCAGAAATTGTTTGTTTGCAACATGAAATAGATTCGATCGATTTGAGCTCATATTGTTGAATGCTGCCATGGCAGTTTGTGTTGCTGTATCTTGAAAAGGGATCATTAGACACATTCCCATGTCGATAATGAGTGCTCCATTCTGGTGCACAAGTAAATTCTCCAAGCTCATATCTCGGTGACATATTCCTGCATGCTGAAGAGTTTCAAGTCCCTATGGCACATTTCATCAGCAGAAGTGAGAATGACAATTCTTAAATTTGAGTCGGTGGTGTCAACTGGAACAGTCAGAAGAGGCTTACATTCAGTACTTGATCCATCCAATATCTTGCCTCGTCTTCAGAAAAGCGTTCGTTAAGGTCCAAGCGCTCGAATAATTCACCCCCGTCGCAGTACGGCATAATGCTATACATATTTAACTCGTCCGTCAGTAAATCTAAAGGCATCATCACGTTGGTTTCTCTCATGACTTGAAATGACTCCATGACAGTCGAGTCTAATTGTGTTACAGTCCGCCCAGACGCACGCTGGTATTCTGCAAAAAATAGCTTCAGATACTGCATCGAAGATACTTCTTTGATAGGATCCTCCGCTAATCGATCTTTTTCTCGTCTAATGTGTTGCCATGACATCTCCTTCACTGCACAGTGATCAGCAGTGACTTCCCATTCGGCACCATCAGCAGCGGAAAGTTCGGGGGGACGCCGTTTGAGGACAACCGCCAAAAGGACCCGCCCGTAAATTGCTTCTCTTATTGTTCGTTGTAACCAGTAGGCATTTTTCACTGATGTTACAGCACTATGCCGTATCGGCTGGTCTTCCACTTTCATACTCTCGTCCGAACTAGAACTGTCGGAAGACATGTTGCTGCTGACTGAGGCATCATCACGCAGCGACCTGGCTCCCGTTCGCACCAGAACATTCTGTACAGTTGTAACTGCACTATGAGTTGGATTGAACACACGTGTTGTTATCCTGGCACATGAGATCTCTTGTGCATCTGGGAATGGTATTGGATCGTGGCTGAGGGCTTCCAAAGGGAGTGCTTGGCTAACGGTCGTCGCGTTGAGACCTGGGTAGTCAGAATTGAAATCAAATTGCATCTCGGTGCTCTTCGCACCCTTTAGTTGGTTGCTCCTCTACAGAAACTCGAAGAGAGTGGTCCAAGTAGCTTGAAGGTTTCCAATACCCAACACTGTAGTCCAGGGATAGAGCTTCAGGGTTGTTGTTGATGAGACCAGGGTAAAGGCAGATTGCTGACACTGTCGACTCAATTTGATTGCTCTGCCCTTCGTTCCGTTCCGAAGTGAATGCCTTACCTTACTACTGTACGTGTACCTGCCTTCTTGCCTACCGGTACCTGGTACCACTGTACGCCTGCCTTCCGTCAGTACGAGATACACGACTAATGCGACTCGCATTCCGTTCGCGCCGAAAATCAATGCAGACTTTTTTGGTCCAGTCCGTGCCCAAGGAGGGAACAGACTTTCCAAATGTCTTGTTGTCTGGTACTGTAGATGCTCACAATATAAGCCATCACAACATGGATAATTTTCCTTCTAAATGCTAATGCAATGGTCTATATTACTAGTTTCCCGTGATGCCTACCTTTCCTTGTACATAAAAATAAAGCGCTTCATCCAAGGGTGGTGCTGTACCGGCGAGTATGTCACTCTTCAGAACGGAAAGCAGAGTAAACGGAGGGAAGGATTGACAGCATTGAGGCACAATTTTAGTTCGATTACCAACCTAACAGCAATTTTGATCCAAAATGGACGAGGAATCGATCGCTCCTCAACGAGAAGCACAGAATATTGAAGCTCCAACCGGTGATCGTGACCAACGGATGGATGATGCCGAAGCTGTTGAAGCCGAAGCCGAAGTAGCTGCGATGGCGAGGCAGCGTGACGGGAGAGGCCGCGACATGATGGCAGAACAGGCCATCATGGGAGCTTCCAACGATGAGGGAGTAGCCGGAGTAGAGGCGATTGATGATAGTGGTGAACTTGTGCACCTGGCTTTTCTTCAGTTTCTCAGTCAATAGTATGTTTCGCTCTCCTGTTGCTTCAACTTGTTCCGAACACGCTCGATACAGTTTGCTAACACTTGCCTTTTTTTAATCTGGCAGCAAACAAGCAGTCGAAAACGATGGCAACCACACCTCAGAAGATAATGCTGATGAGGTCGAGTATATTCATCCCTACATGGAGCAAGCTGAGCAAATGGCGAAGCGTGTGAACGACCGCGATTCCAACAACAATGACGCAGTTGGTGGTTTTGGGGGATTTACCAATACGATGTTTGTAAACTTCCAGCACATTATACATCAAGATCCCGAACTTGCAGATGCTATTCAGAGCGAGTTTTGCCGATTTGAACCATTTCTCAAGCGAGCAGTGCAATTGTTTGTCTTGGATCTTTTCCCAATGCTGAAAGAGCAATCCTATTTCGTCGCTATGTACAATCTTCCATCTACGCATTCCATTCGACAACTAAGAACGGAGCTGATTGCATCCCTCACTTCTGTCACTGGAACAGTCACGAGAACTTCAGATGTCCGTCCAGAACTCATAGTGGCAAGTTTCAGGTGCAGTAAGTGTGGATTGCTGGCATCCAGCATCGCGCAGCAGTATCACTTTACAAGACCAACTATTTGTCGGAACCCTAGGTGTAAGAATTCAAGCCCATTGCAGTTCTCTCTGGAGATTCGGGAATCGGAGTTTGTCGACTGGCAAAAGCTTAGGGTACAAGAAAACTCGAATCAAATTCCTCCGGGGAGCATGCCACGATCGATGGACATTATTCTACGAAACGAAATGGTCGAAAAAGCAAAAGCAGGAGACAAATGCGTCTTCGTGGGCAGTCTAGTTGTCCTTCCAGATGGCTCGGCGTTGGCGAGGGCTGGCGAAGCCGCCACTGCGGGGAGAACGCGACCTAGTGATGCAGCTTCTGGTGGTGGAGGGGGTGTCCAGGGGTTGAGGACGCTTGGAGTGCGTGAATTGACGTACCGGACATGTTTTGTTGCCACTTCCGTCCTACCTGCAGACTCCATGGAAAAGGCAAATCACAACGAAAACGTCGTCGCATCGCTTTTGTTTGGAAACTCAAATTCAATCAATCCGCATGAAGGGGATCCAACTACAGACCAGGTAGCATATGAAATGACAACATCACAGCGTTCTGAAATTACAGCTATGCGAAATAGTCCAAGATTGTACGAACAAATGGTGGACTCAATTACTCCAAACACTTTTGGGCACCGAGAAGTAAAGAAAGGAATCCTACTCATGTTACTCGGGGGGGTGCACAAAACAACAGGGGACGGCATCAAGCTAAGAGGCGACATTAATGTTTGTGTCGTTGGAGATCCATCAACTGCCAAATCACAGTTTTTGAAGTATGTTCATTCATTTTTGCCAAATCGTGCAGTCTATACCTCTGGAAAAGCATCGTCAGCAGCCGGTCTAACAGCTGCTGTACAGCGAGACCACGACACGGGTGAATACTGTATTGAGGCTGGTGCACTCATGTTGGCGGACAACGGCATTTGCTGCATTGTAAGTTCTTGTTTCTTTTCAGGTCTTTTTCTTCAAAATTCAATCTAGACCCTCAATCACTTTTAGGACGAGTTTGACAAAATGGATCCAACAGACCAAGTAGCGATTCATGAAGCCATGGAACAGCAAACAATTAGTATTACGAAAGCTGGGATACAAGCGACTCTAAACGCTCGGGCTTCGATTCTTGCTGCAGCAAATCCAATCTATGGCCGCTACGATCGGACTAAAACGCTCAAGGTCAGTAGGCGTGCATGTTCGTCCATTTGCTTTTGTTCATTCTGCGCTCATATTGTATACTACATTTTTCTTTCAAGGCAAATGTGGCACTTTCAGCTCCGATTTTGAGCCGTTTCGATCTTTTCTTCGTCGTTTTAGATGATTGCAACCCTGACACGGATCGACAGGTTGCGCAACATATTTTGAATGTTCATAGATGCCAAGCAAGAGCTGTGAAGCCCCCATTTTCTAAAGACCAAATGCGCCGATATATCAAGTTTGCCCGAACGCTGAATCCAAGAATTACGCCAGAGAGTCAGCGGGTGATGGTAGAGTGCTACCGCAAGCTGCGACAAGGAGACAGCCTTGGGAGGTCTCGTTCTGCGTATCGCATCACAGTGCGACAGCTAGAGTCGATGATACGACTATCGGAGGCGTTGGCAAGAGTATATTGTGCTGACGAAATTCAGCCTTCGTATGTGCGCGAAGCCTATCGTTTGCTCAAAACGAGTATTATCCAAGTGGAAACGTCTGATGTGGAAGTAGAAGATGCCGACGATTACGATGTCCCTCCTGATGATGTGATCAACGAGGAATCAGATACCTTTGAAGAGTCCCATGACTTGTACGAAACACAGGAGAGAGCATTGATCAAACCCGGGGAGTACGAACAGGATGCAATCGTGGAAGAGCAGGAGAAGCAGGCAAATCAGGATAAAGTGCCAAAGCATGTTGGGAATTCCCACGATGAAAAGAAAGAGAGAAAGAAGAAAACAAAAATCTCGTTCGAGGAATATGAATCGATTACCAACGCAATTGCTAGTTATTTACGTTCCCTTGAAAGTGATGGAGAAACAGAAGCAAGCTATCTCCAGTGGGATCAAGCCCGTGAATGGTATTTGTCTCAATGTGAAGAAATCATAGGGGACTCCGTCGACAAACTAGAGGAGATGCGAAGGAAGGTCGACCTAGTAATTCGGCGGCTGATTGATGTTGATAGAATTTTGGTTACTGTGGGAGAGGTACCGAAAGGAAAGAAAGAGCGCGGGAAGACTCTTTTGGTTGTGCATCCTAACTATGAAGTTTCCTAAGTTGTACTACACTACATGAGAATATCTCCAAGATATTCACGAGCTCCCTCTCCACGTCCACTTCTTGCCATCGGCGACGCCCATCGAAGTGAACTCTTGGATGTCATACTTTTGATGAGTGCTCCAGGATGCTCAACTGCCGAATTCCCGGCTTTGTAGAGTGCATCAGAGACCCAGACACAGTTGAAACCTTTATCTCTACATGCCCAAGCCTCTTCGACTTCCTCCAGACCTTTGTTGCCTCTGTGGAGAATATTAGCAATAGTTGTTACAGTTCGTCCTTCGGGAACACATAGATTTTCGATGACTCTTTGCTTCTCGTCCACCCCTTCCACATTGACAACACTAATCATTTTCGCACCGATATTAACGGCCTTTTGGGCTTCTTCATGGGTATTGACAGCGACTATAACCTCCAATCCAACCGACTTAGCTGCTTTCAGAAGTTTCGCGGTATCTTCAGTTCCAATAATTCCCAAAATTAGGACGACAGCGCCGACTCCACAGGATGCTGATTGTGCAATTTGCAACTCATCAATGATTAGATCACTATTGATAATTGTAACAGGACCAGGAACAGAATTTCTCGACCGACGTTGATCCTCGACAAATATGCCCAAGTCGTCATAAGTGCAGCCTCCCATACGCTCGTCGGCCATTACAGCTATTCCAGAGGCACCGAACTCTCTAAATTCTCCAGACATGATTGCAGGTTCAAAAACATCGTTGATGTAACCCGAGTCAGCAAGCTTTCGCTTGTACTCGGCTATGACTGTGACTGTCCCCTTTCGTTTCGTAAGCCTTTCTTGAAGAGGACCCATCTTCGTATCGTCCGCTTCATCTTCTTTTTCAAATGCTTCCTTAATGGTGTCATACTTTTCCATGACATCCTTATCGATTCCATCGGCGATATATTGGCGAAGAGTTGCTTCTTTCGCCTTTTTTGCAAGAGCTCCGATCGCTTGAAGGCTTGAATCGTGCAAACGTGGAGAGTGAATCTGGCTGTTGAGAGTGAATCCCTCTGTGGGCGACAAACCTGCAGCAATTACAGCAATTGTTAGGATTCTTGGCATCATGATGGTGTCGCGATTTTGATTGATAGGGTGGCGAATGTTTCCGTTACTGGTACGGGGTACTTTTCATGCAGTGAATTGTGAATGTGCAACGAGGTTCGTTCAACTTGAAACTTGGCTCTTGGTACCATCTGCGCGTACCAGTAAGTGCATGGTCTGCGAAGTGGCCCGTCTTCTTTTCCCAGGACCAACCGCAATTTTTCGACTTGCGCGCACTCTTTAGCCATTGTCTTGCGGTCAACCCACCCCGTCTGTAGGTCGCACGTGAACGAGCGAAGGGTTAGGGTTGGGGCGTCTGATCATGGGCCTCGCGACCTTCGGTCGCTCCGCCAAATAGTTTTACGTGCAAGGTCATAGCACCGAATTTTTGCCGCCCATGGAAACGGTGCGGTGCTGTGAACTTGTTTAGGGTGAATGTTTAGCGTGGATTTGGACCTATCAAAGTAATTTCACACTAAACATGAATTCGATGAACAAAGTGCAGACGACGATATTCAAATACCCAAATTTCACACTCACCACAATGGATGACAATTCAACTCTACACTGGCTTAGTATTAGATTGAATTTTGTAGTCAAATGTTGATATATTGTATTCTGTCTTGTTGTGGATGTCATGGGAGGAGGTCATTGCCTAGATACAACTAGAAACCTGGTCACTCTCACTGGCCTCCTGATAGGGCAAGCAACAGGCAGTGCACACCAATCATTCAGCCATGATCTGTAGGTTTTTGTCATATTTGATTTGCCAGGCGGGTTGTCACTTTCCTCATTTTTCTTTCATGTATCATCTTTGAGCGCTATTTTGAGGACGCATGCTGGCTTGTGGGTATAAATCATTGGAGAATTGTTGCCACCAAGCAATTGCTGCTGCTACCCCTGCCTGAAACCTTGTATTGCATCAGCTACAGTCGCAAGTGCATTCATATGCTGTGCACTCTTAGTATCTCACACATTTTGCTGAAAGTTCTGATTTCTTTCACTCTGCTCACTTGATGACAGGCAGCGCCCATGCTGATTTGCAAGCCAACTAGAAGATTGACAAAACAACCTCATTCCATTTGCTGGCAAGAGTTTGCCTCCATCCGCTTTGTCGTCTGGAAATCTTAGATGCTCTCATTTTTTCAGTCTGCACAGTGGACGACAGCGCTTATGCCAATCTTAGAAGCCAACGAGCAAGGAGATAGCAAAACAATAGTATTCCCCTTGCGGGCAACACTGACTCCAGTAGTATCCAACTCGTTTGCTTCAGCCCCCAGAGCAGTAGATTACTGCAATTTCAAAGCCTTCTCTTGTGATTTTTTGTCATTTGAGCCCATGGTTGTTGGCCACTTCTGATGGGAAGCGCAGACATCATAAAGTAGGATTGTTGTTGTGTTGATTGTTGGGATATGACGAAATATGAGTTTTTACGTTCCAAAAGAAACTATTCAAGTACAAGGTTTTCGACACGTGCGATCGGACTTTGATCGTGCGTGATGTTGGGATTCGACGCAAGTATGCCGGACGCAAGTCTGTCGGACAATCTGTATCCACACAAACAGGAAAAGATCCTGTACAAGTGAAATATTGATGTTGTGTACGATGCAGTAGGGAATAATGCAAGATGTCCCAAAGTACTGCATTCAACACAGAATTGTTGTAGAAGTCGAATCGAGTTCTGTAAACAAGGGATTTTCCAAGGGAAAATCGTCAAACTCACTTTTGTGATTGAATCATCAATTCAAGCCAAACATTAATCAAATAGGAACAATTTCACTCAAAGTA